GAAAACCCATGCAGGCCCGGGAGAACATGCAAACTCCACACAGGGAGGCTGGAGCTGGAATTGAACCGGGTACCTCTGCACTGCGAGGTTGACGTGCTAACCACTGGAAAAATGGAAATTAAAATATATTCTACAGCTGACTGGCAGTGATTGTAAAGCCTTTACGACTGCAATAATATGTTCTGATGTCTGCAGTAGTCCAAATGAGCCGCAGCGGTTTGATGTTCTTTTGAAGGAATCCGGTCAGAAGGCCATTCCAAATAATCAAGTCTCCTAAAGATAAGTGAATGGATAACCATGTCCTGGTCTCCTTGCAGCAATCTAGATATGCTTTTCAGCCGGTAAAAGGCTTTTTTAGTGATTGATTTTATATGACTGGTGATAGTCAGACCTGAATCAATCACCACCACTCTTCATAATTTGCGCCACATTAAGGCGCCTGCTCCAGCTGAAGAAAAACAGCCTGAAAGCATGATATTGCCACAATTATTATGTTCTTTGGGTGATGAGCAGTGTTGTAGATGCACCAAATATCTATCCATCTATCCATTATACGAACCGCTGATCCTTACGAGGATCGCAGGCGTGCTTGAGCCAATCTGTCTTCAGGCAGTAGGCAGGGTACACCCTTAACTGGTCGCCAGCCAGGGCAGAAATAGACCTACAACCATTCGCACTCACAATTGCACCTACGGACAATTTCGAGTGTTCCATTAACTTGCTATGCGTGTTTTTGGAATGTGGGAGGAATGTGGAGTACCTGGAAAAAGCCCATGCAGGCACGGGGAAAACATGCAAACTCCACACAGGAAGGCCAGAGTCGTAATCGAACCCTGCACCTCTGTACTGTGAGGCCGACGTGCTAACCAGTCACCCACTATTCTGCCTGCACCAAACATAGCTTTTGGAATTGTGTCCAAAAGATTCAGCCTTATTTTTACGGGGCCATTCAAATGGCAATTATGATCTAGTTTCACTCAACTAAATCCGCTTAGAAGCTTTTTGTGCAATATGAACAAAATTTGTGTTTTGCTTTTCTAATGTTACGCTGTTTTTTTTCCTGTCTTTTTTCCCCTCCTCTTTTTTGAACACAATGTGACTTTCAGTAAAAATAGTTTCTGTCACAAGGTGAAAGTGAAATGTTTTTTCCACTCATCCTATCAGTCTCATGCTGCCTGCGCGGAGGTTAATCATCTGTCCCCCGTTTACAATCAGTCCAACGGAGGGAATTACTTACATCATATCATTTGGGTTCCGTTAATAAGAAACAATAAATCCAGAGGCAGATGCGTGTGCTGTGCCACAAAGCGGAGGCAGATTAGAGGGATTTAAAGACAATGAAACAGCACCTGCTTTTATCCCAATGTTAATCTTCTACAACCTTAGGCCAACTCATCACACCATGCAATGTTTGCAGAACACTAAACCAACGCACATGGTGGCACATTACATAATGTGACCAGGATGCTGCCTACTGCTTCAAATGAGGCCAACAAAGACAGCATGTGACAGTGAAATATATCATTCATTTGTTGAGCATTTTCTAATTTGGATTATTTAGAAACCACTTAGTTTGAATGGGAACAATTTATTTAACAAGGGACGAGACTAATTGCTTTTTAACATGACAATGACAAAAATCAATAAACAATCACGTCAAAAGAGATAAACAGGAATGGAAAAAGCTCACCTTCACACACATGAAACAGATTTGATGAGGATAATTAACATGAAGTTGTTGTCTCACAACAAACTCTCTCATGTTGATGGGAATCAGTCAATGGCAGGAAAAAGCTTGCTCATGTTATGAAAAGGAGTCTTCAGATTCATTCAGAAGAAAGCCAAAAATAACACTGTGAAGATGAGGTCAAAATTACAAAAATAAAGTATTCACATTACGAGAGTAAAGTTACAGTCACACATTCCAAATTATAGAGCCCTAATGCTCTCATCTATTGTTCAAATGGACCCTCCTGACCAGTTACTCTTTCAAATATTGAATAGAAAATCCATGACTTGGCTGAGTTTTTGAACGCAGTGGTACCTTGTCTAATGAGTCATCTGACCATACAAGTTTTTTGGGAGAACTGTTTCCACCACTCGGATGATTTATTTATTTATTTTGCCTTGAGTTGTAGTCAAAAATTTGAGTTATGACCATTAGGTATTTTGACAGCAACTGTTTCGACCTGTTTGTTGCCACTTCCAGTTAAACGTTAATCAACAAGAATTGCTTGTCTATTTTGTCAAACGACGTTAACTGTTTCTTATGAAAGTCACACCAAACCATGCAATATGCATTAAACGGGCTAGCAAAACTCTCATCGATGTTGCGACAATTACAAACCTCTAAAAAACATCTATTCAAGCACAAGTGGTAGCAACACAGGCAGACAGAGAATTCACCGATACTCACGGGTATACTTTTTTTTTTTTAAATCATAAGCAAAAAATGACTATTATTATATCTTAGTTGAGACGGTTTTCATCTGGTTTTGTCACCTAATCTACATCTAGTATGTCATCATGTTTTATTGAGCCCCCTGGTGGACAGCTGAATTAGCAGCACAATACCCATTCAATGGAAAATTTATATCGTGCTTTATCTACACCATACATGAAGCACAAACTGTTTAATCTTGTCCATTCTAGTAGATGTTTAATGCTAAGTTTAAACAGAACAAATTTTGTTGTGTCTTGGGTCACTGGAACGAATGAATGCCATTTCCATTTATTTCAATGGAGAAAGACGATTTGAGATGAGAGTGTTTTGAGTTGTGGGCATGGCCACAGAACAAATGCCACTTGTAATTCAGAGCACCATTGGAAAAACAGAGGGCCATGTATTCATCAGTCATTCATGTTGGTGCGCTGATCTCCATGATTTCATTAATCCGGAGTTATGGTCAAACACTCACATTTTGTGCACATGCTTGAATGCGTGTGGGCTGTATTTTAGCAGCTGTAGTTTGTAAATACTGCTACTCATTGGTGTGCATCAAATGCAATTGTGTTGAACGCTGAGTTTTCTCAGGCCCGAAATCACTGAACCTTGGATGTGGCTGGCAGGCAAGTCATGGACAGATGGAAACACAAAAAGAAGACGTTAACTTTACTTTTGTTAAATGTAAACACTGCACCCAGTTTAATTAGAGCTGCGCTAACTTGATTTCGATCATTTACAGTACTTTCAGCTTGGAATAATTTGCTCGAATCAGACAGGCACTGACAACAGAAAACGACTAAATGCTGGTTCACCTCATCACACATGCAGAAGTAACGGCGTTACTGCTGGGCATACATTTTAGCTGATACAAGTACAGTGAGCTTTTTTTTTCGTTAGATGTAGTCAGCCATTAAACTTAGCATGAGCAGGTAGCCTTGTGCTTCGCTGTACAATTTTAAAGTTGCAGCCTCTTTTCATTTGTGAATTTTCATACAGTTATACAACAACATTAGACATGAAAGGTCAGTTCTGGATAAGGGTTTAGAAATAATTCTAGGCCTTCTCCCATGTGCCTGGCTGTTTCAGATGATTTCTGTTCAACATTACATGAAGGATTATACCTAATCCTGTTAAACTTTGATACAGCATTTGTTTTAAGATTTCACTACGGGCTTAAAACATCAAAATGCTTGGAATGAAAGACGTGAGCGGTTCTTTCGTCTCTGCTGAATGATTCCCGACCACCTCTGTATTGTCTTTCCGTCACGACTTAATGCTTCCATGCAAGGCTTCAATGCGTTTCATCCCCTCCATTGTTCAGCACTGTGTAAATGTCATCAAATAATGAGGAATACAAAGGTACTGCCAAGCTTTGGTCTTGCATGACAGCGGCTTGAAGCAGTAGCCAGTTCTCTTCACATGTTCTGGTTGTATTAATTTCATAGGGATCTATTTTTTCTCTTCTTTTGTTAAACGGCGTAAATCCTGTGTCGTACACGGTGTAACACTGTTTGGAATTGAATTAGTCTTGGCAATTTCACAGATGAGGGAAGGTCGTTGGACCTGTGAGAGGGAGGTCTGTGCTGCTGTGGGAGTGGTCACAGATGACTTCAGTAACAGCCAATCAAACCCACTTGTCTCCTCCTTTAAATGCGTTGCACAAGTCGCGTACTAGAGACTCCGCGGAGGACCGCACATCTGAGATGTGAAGTAGCCACTTGAGAACCCCCCACTCCCAATCATTCGTGCGCCCCCACCCCAGTAGCTATGCCACCCAGTAGGATGATTTAAAAAAAATGATAAAAATAATATTGATAATAGTAATAATAATTCATTCAGTGAATTGATTTCTACAATGATTGAAGGGTTTAATACCCGCCGTTCACATATTTCCGAATGAAATATGTCTGACTTCCACCACACACATGCCTGTGCAGCTCAGAATTTGTCTTCCTACGCCCTGATACATTTCACCAAAATCACATTAGATTAGCTGTCTACCTTGCGCTGGCACTTAGACGTGCTCTGAGCAGTAACTTGAGATCAACTTTCTGCCACCAAATTGTCACTCCACCAGGCGCATCGCCAACGACACTCCCTATGCTACGCCAGTACGCCCAACTTGTTGGAGACCCATCTGCCAAATTGGAAATCGCACAGTGAGCCTTGCGCTTGCACAAAAATGAGGATCCACCAGCATTTGTGGCCCGCTGCAGATGCGCTGTCTAATCAAATCGAGCCCACAGTGTTCCAAGTGTGTTATTTGTAAGCAAAGCAACACTGTGTTTGAAAAGATGTACAGTTGACTTTTGGCAGGGGTGGGAGGGGAGTGAACTCTCTTGATTTGTCTTGTGTGTTTTTTTCTTTCCAGAAGAAGAGTGAGCTGGACTTCTGTGTGTGGTTGATTACAGCAGGATTCCTTGTCTTTGCTTAAAATAACTGTTTCAGTCAAGTCATACTGTACGGTGTGATTTATGAGAGGACAGTCTGTAGTTTTATCAGTAGAGAACGCAATTGATTAAAAGTGCAGACTTCCTCAGGAACACTAAGAACACATTTTTTTTGCCAAACATGAACTGTTTACAGTTTTGATGGTGTTCTACCTCGGTAAAGGAGCAGTTACAAACAGTCTGGTTGATGTGCTGCAAACCCTTACAATCATAGCAAGATTTAACTGTGTGAAAAACCTTTACAAGTGGGATCTCGAGTCACCGTTGAATGGATGGCCCATCATTGCACAGCACCTCAAGAGTTATGAGGTGACTTTAGGAGGTGCTGATGGCTCTGCTGTGCTCACTGTTAAACCTCACGGCCAATTCGAGCGGCTAACAGGGGGAAAGCAGAGGGTACTTATGTGCTTTTTATCAGCAGGTGACTTTCAGGAAAGAGAAATCAGCACTTCCCTTGGCGTTTGATGGCCGTTTTTTTTTTTTTTTTTGCATTAGCTTTCATGTTTCCATTCAGGTCCTTCCTCACGCAACATCGGCTGCCTAAATGCTACGTGCTTATTAAGGTGGCCTTTTTCCCTATCTGTTGTGCAGGTGGAGAAAATGGGCATTGAATTCTCTGCTTCGTATGTCGCAATCGGGATGACTGGAGGGTTGGGCTGTTTACAGCAGCTGCATCGGCATGGGGTGAGGTAGAGGTACACGAGGATGAGGACCATAGTCACCGCACATCCCAGCAGCGTTGTGTAACCCGTACTGAATGACTCCACTTCAGGCAAGAGCACCGTGACATCTATTTCTCTGGTTGCATTCAGTGCCGCTTTAATATCCACTGCCGTACACACATACAGGCCTGAGTCGTTAACCTTGGCTGCTTGGATCTCCAAGGTACCATTTGCAAACAAGCTCATGAGCGTGTCATCAATGTTGGACTGGGTGATGGAAACCTGGCTGGGGGAAAGCCATGTAAATGAGAGATTGGCGCGACTCAAGGATGTTTGGCAGTCCAGACGCACCCTTTGTCCCTCTGAAACCAAAACTTTAGAGAGGAGCACAGTCACCGGCAGCGACACGGCTCTTTCCACGGTGCAGTTGTTAAAAAAGCGGTTGTGTCGCAGGAACCGGATAGATGCTCGGGGTTCCCCGGAGATGGTGCAAGTGTATTCATCTGTGAAATCCCTCAGCGGGGCAAATCCACGGAGATCCCAGTGCCAGAACACGCTGTACATGGAGCAGTCGCAAATCAGAGAGTTATTATGAAGGTAGAGCCCCCGCTGCACCAATCCTGGTAATGCTTTCACATCCTGCCATGGCAGATGCGTCATAAGGTTGGATGAGAGATCCAGCATGTTCAGAAAAGGGTGGCTGCGGTCTTGGATAGAGAAGAATGGGAATCGTGTGATCTGGTTAAGGCTGAAGTAGGCCTTTTTCAAGCTACTCAGACCCACCAGTGTGCCAGCTTCTACCAGTGTGATTTTATTGTTAAAGAGGATGAGCTCCTCCAGCCTCCACAGTCCCTCAAAATAGTGCTGCTCCACCTTTTGGAGCTTATTGGAAGACAGGTCAAGATATCTTATGCTCGAGGCATTCTGAAATGCCCCGTAGGCCAAGCTGCTGATCTGGTTGTGGGCCATCCAGAGGTTTTCCAGTCTGGACATACTGCTGAAGCTGCCCGGACCCAGCCAAGACATTTGGTTGTGACTGACATCAAGCGTGATGGCGAACGAGGGCAGTGATTTCGGTATCTTGGCGAGACCACTAGCGCTACAGCTCACTCTGTCGGATGTGCAAAGACACATGGAAGGGCAGGTCTCCTTAGTGGCAGGGAGTAGACAGAGGAGCAGCAGGATAGGAACGTGATTGATTCTGGCGATCATGCTTCTACAGCCAAAGACTTTTAGGTTCTGAAAATCTTCCCGCTTTGCCTGCATGGATGAGAATGACATTCAAAATATAATCTTTACTCAAGCCACCTTTCAGTACAACCAAAATGAAACGTTCACTGACAACAGCATTTAGACATTCTTATTGTTCTCAAAGCTGTACGCTAAGCTATCTTAGTGGGATTTAAGAATTAGAAGCTAAAAAGAAATGTTTTACCTTAAAGGAGAAGATGTCTTCTCGGCTGGCATCATCTGTCTTCCCGCAAGTGATTTTAAATAAGGAAACTTAATAGAAGGTCAAAAGCTTCATGCCTCTTCTTGAAAGGTGAGCAAGTCGTCCTGAATTAAATCCCGCACATAACAGGAGAAAAGACCCTCAGAACCATGACTCGAAAATGCACTGCCAAGGGGATGCCCTCTGTGAATGCCAACAAATGTTGGTGTCTAATTTTTTATCTGCTTCTCTGAGCCTCAATCCCGAGAGGGCGGAGGAACAATTTCACTGATCTTGCTTGATTCCTCAGCTTCAAGTTTAAGGTCCTCCTACCGGCTCTCTCCTGGTCCTGAACGAGACTGCTGCTTACCAAACATTCTGCATTGCTTTGTGGCGTGGAACAAACATGACAGTGCTCTCTTAATCTCCCACAATCCCCTCCTCCTCCTGATTCTCCACCGCCACTACCATGTCTCATTTCGAGACCAGCCTTGTGTCTCCTTCTCTCGTCATTGAGCAATGATGCCACTGTGGCCCGTTCTCTGCGGCTCACAAATACAGTATCAGCTTCCTTACCGTGCTCTGTTAATATTCGGCTTCATGAAACTTCTGTATTTTGCTTTCTTACAAATTTTGTCCAACCATTCAGATATTTTCATGTATTTTACAGGTTGTATGTTCACCTTGTTGGTAATGAGTCTGTCAGTATTAAATCCACAATTTTGGTATAAATGTTCCTCATATAGTCTCCATTGTGTATATCAATGATCAATGACCAGTTTAGAAATCATTCACACTTTCAGTCAACTCCTTTGAAGAATAAAATCGTCCTACAGCGCCAAAACAAGTCAAGTTCATTTTACCTTGATGATCATAGGCTGACAACAGACAGGAAGGATACGCTGTAATTTATTTGTGGTCGGTCTTTAATATGTTCAGATGGTCTGTTATGTATAGTATCTGAACCGTAGTTAGCAAAAGCATTTTCGCTGTTTAGCGCATTGCTATGGGTCTAATTATGAACCTGTATGTGGTGCAGTAAAAAAATGAAAGTATGCTTAAAACAGTTATAGCCGTTAGTATAACTCAAAAGATGCTTGGCCAAGTTTACTTCACACCTGAGCTTTAAGGCTTTATTTACATCTTTGGGAAAAGTTCAGTGTGTTGGTCAACGTGGGACTACTTCCGGATTCATTCAATGCCACCGCTTCTGGCATCTGCGATTTCGGTGCATGTATTGTACGTAGGTGGAACTTCTGCCTCGCTATAAAACGCGGCGACGGCTATATAACGTGATTGCACGGATGTTAACTGTGTGTTCTCTGAAATAAACACTTTCAAACTTGACATTTTTTCTGAAATTGAAATGACTTTTGGATGTGGAAAAACGCAACTGCGATTTGTGAATGGATGATCATGAATGCAGAGGAGGAACCTGCGACCTATGCAACAACTTCCGCTTTCAGCCACGGATGGATATCATTAGTTTTCAGATCTGAGCATTGCGTAATGCATGCTGCCAGTGATGGTTACGCAGCGCGAGAAGAATTACAACATAGATGCATCCTCTCCTTCATGCCAAGATTGTTCCTAGAGTCAAAATAGTGCGTAAATGAAGGTAATTTTTCTATGAAAAACTCAAATTGGACATAAAAAGGAGCATTCATATCTCGAGGTTCCATTGTATCTGAAAGAATTCAGGCTGTAAGATAATGATGGGGATATAGGAGAAGCTGCTTACAATAAGTGGAATAGATGCCAATTTGCATATGATCTGATGAGTCATTCGACAGTTTGTGTGCGTGGGCATGTGTGTGCGTGCGTGCGTGTGTGTACGGTGTGTGTGTGTGTGTGTGTGTGTGTGTGTGTGTGTGTGTGTGTGTGTGTGCGTGCGTGCGTACGTGCGTGTGATGTGGGTAGCAACACCCAGGCCGTAACTCGCATTGTTGCTGCTTTGGCAGAGTGTGAAAACACACCGGACTCTACACACTGAAAACAGAAAAGACAGAAAGGTAAGAAGAACCCTTCAATCGCAGATACGTTTTCAATACAGAAAATTACGGATGGATGATGCACTTGTAGGTTGCAGAATGGAAAAAATGATGGTCTAATCTAAAAACGTAACCAACAACTTGACTGGTGGCAGTTCTAGACAGTTTTACCTGGTGTAGCAAAGTGGCAGGAGATTCACTTAGGGAGGGTGGAGATTATACCCAGTCCCTGCAACACACACACACACACACACACACACACACACACACACACACACACACACACACACACTTTATCTGTAAATGTCTCATTGAGAGCATCCTTTTCGCTTCCTCTGAACGCCAATCATGCCACACTCACAAGAACCGTTGGTTTGACTCAATATACGCTGGCCATGCTGCTTGGTCACGGTGGCCCTGATAGCTCTGATTTCTGTCACAGTAAATTAGCTTTGCCTTCTAGCAGCCACCTCCTCGTTGGTATAACCCCCTCCGCCTCCCTCCTTCCTCCCTGCACCATCAGCCTCCACTCGTATCCCTGTGAATGCCGCAAGCTTTGACTGATTCCGCTCATGCCTAACCTGATCATTGTAGACTCACACTTGCTGAATGGGGCTCACTGCTCAAAAGGTGGGCAGGTGGGTGCAGATGTGGGCCCTGCGGGAGGGTGGACATGAATGGGGGATGTTATGTGATTCTTTTATATATTGTATCAGTGTTGCTCCTATTTTGGTGTGTTTTTCTTTGGAGGGGGTGAAGAGGATTAAGGCTAAGAAAGCACATTTGGATGTATTTGTCTTCAAATGAAAACACTCTCGTGTCTCACATTGTGGCATTTCCCACAATCTTGTCCCAAGGCAAGTCAACAGCTTGGCTGCAACATGCAAGGAATGTATACGCCCACGTGTACACTGCAAATATGTCGGAAAATGATTCCCAACACACTATGCGTTGTAGGTGTAATGTTTATTTCATGGCCAAAATGGAGAATCAAGTCTGATTGCAGTTCGCCTACAAATTGAACTTTGTCCCACAGGATGAAAAACCTTCGCGCTTTTTAAATATTCATGTATCATTGATTGCCTCATGGTATTATGTAACGCTCCTATTTGTTGAACGGGTTTCACAAAGTCATCTCAAGACAAAGAATTACATGATATAAAAGTGTTCATCAACATAAACTGGAATATTTTAGAGTGTGTTCTCTGCAGTGTGTGCAAACAAAGCTTTTGTTACGATTTTCGCTCTTGTTTACTGCACGGGGAAATGTGTTTTGCTGCGCTTCATAATTTACTGTATTGACTTGCACACTGTAAGTTGCCATTCAATTTCAAATGCAATCATTTGTCATTGTCATGAACCCATTTCACTCAAAACAGAATGGGGAAAGCAATGCAGAGGATGCTGCGCATACCTGCGGACTGAAGTGGATGTTTTTTATTCTGATTGTCCCCCACTTGTATAGTAATTGTGCATGAGCAAGGGGGGCAGGTATATGGACAGTCCTTTGCACAAGTTGTATGCTACCATTTGATTTTTGTTTGAATGACCTTTTCACAGAAGTCATTTTGGCAAAGTAAAACTGTGGCGAATTGTAAATACAGCTTGAGCATTGACTTTAATTGGAAAATATGGTTGGAGTTGTATCAAAAAAGTTTCAGGACTGTCCCCTGCCACACCTTTGTGCACTCCTGGAAGGATTTATTATTTCAACCACTAATAATCAAAATAATCGACAACTATTTTGATAATCAATGAATGGCATATTCTGCCGTTTTTGCCTAATTCAATTCCTAAAGTGCCTTTCCGATGCACTTTCAAGACACTGTGATTCTCCGGTCTCGGTTTCTGACACACCAAACATGCGTAACCTGGGAATATGTGCACAACCATCAAAGAGGCGTGATACGGCGAAGTATGAGAGTGATCCTGATTTCTGGAACGTGGATTTGTCATGTGACATGAGAATTCCACAGAGATCCATATTGAGAATGTAGCACACTTTGATTGTGAAATTAACTTGGGTTGTGGACTCGGGACGTTATAGCCAGTGATGTGGGGGTTGCTCATCTACAGGCTACTATGAAGGGAGTGTGTGTTTTTGGTTCTATTCACTTTTTAATCAATGCACTACAAGCAATTTAATTAGAACACTGTGGTCTGAATGGAAAGTTTAGGAGATGATGCAAATTAAGATTAGACCCGGTCGCTACTCAGGTAACATTTACCCAAAAAACTCTGGAACATGTTTCACCATTATTACGCCCACTCAGTGGCGGACCCTGAGGGCCAGCAAGGCCTTCTCTGCTGGCCTAAACATTCTCAGAAAAGTAAATTTACTTTTATGTATTTTGTTATTTTATAATTTCTGTTATTTTATTTTCATAAATATGTAAACAAAATTATTCTCTGTATTCTTTACATCATATTATTTCCACTTAGTTGAGTGGCTGTTATTTTAAATAACATTGAAAGCCACTCGATAGATAACTTATTTATTATGGTAGAGTTTTTAACCAATCATATTTCAGCTAGCTTGCGTTGCCAGGTAAATTAAACTTGCTCAGGGCCTTCAGATTAAACAGAGCAGGCCCCTGTGCGCTGTAAGTGACCGGGCACAG